ATCTGGGGAATTGGCTGAACAGCAGGCCGTCCAAGCCCATGTGCACATCCCACGGTAACAGCTGCAACCGGCCCTGTGGCGGTGCTGAACTTGGCCCCGAGCCATCGCTGGTGGATAGATGGAAGTGCCCTGTTTGCGACGGGGATGCTCGGCCTTACAGCTTGACGATGGATAGTTTCATGGCGGAGGTGCGGAAAAAGTTAGAGGCTGACGGGAAGCTCCATACGAAAACGATATTTGTGGCAGCGGATGGGACGTGGAGGCCAAAAGTGGAAGAGGCCGGAGATGACGAGGACGACGATGCAGAGGGTGTGCCTGGAAGGCCGCCAGCAAAGCGCGCGAGGACTGGGCCGTCACCCGCCGAGGCACCGACGATTGAGATCATTGAGCTGGATTGAGGATATGCATAAATTTGAGGCCATTCTGGCGTGGGATTACGAGCGGCATATGGGACACGGCGTTTATGAATCCCATCCTCAGACGAGGCACTCGGGATGGAGTTTGCTTTTTGCTATGGCATCGGGGGTGCCGGAATGATACCACCTACAACATCTGGGCGTTGTAGGAATACGCAGAGGTGATTAAGCCTCGATGAGGATTGAAAGATTCATGTTACTAGTTTTGGCGCCCTGTGCTCCGGGATGGTCGTTCCAGAGGGACACAGACGATGCTCCTTCGGGACAGAAGCGGAGGGGACATGGGCAATCACCACAGCGACAGTAGGAATAGACCGATCAGCGCCATATCCGAAGCGGACGGTATTTGAATGTTCCTTTGCATTTTGTGAAAGTCAAGGGCCGGAAGCTCGGGACAGCCAGGCAGAGGCAGGTTGGGTTGGGTGCACGTCTCATGACCAACGGAACGCCCGAGACTTGGCAGCGGCGTCTATTTAAGGTGCGACCGAAGTCGGCAGCGTCGGCAAGAGCAGGTCTGGCAGACAGTGCAGCAGTGCTCCAATCCAAGAAACGGTAGTGATTGGGCCAAATCCTCATGACATCAGCCCTGCTAGACCTCACTTGCCATGTTTCCCCGGATTGAATACATGCATGCCTACAACCACGCAGTATCTGTAATTGTAAACTCATCGAGCCAATTGTCACCTTGTTGCGTCGTCTGTTCCTCTGCGCTGCGACCGCCCAACCTTGCAGAGGCCCTGGTTGAGGGACCGCACATACATACCAGGCACGTTTGACATCCAGGGTGCCAGCTCTCGTAACATCCAAACATCCATTAGCTTCACTGCTTCAGACGAGCAGCTTGAAGCTTGCGCCTCACAGCGTCCCATCCTTAGTCCCTGAAGTCTCTGGCCCCGAGGCAGGTCAGCCAAAGCGACCATACAACTGCGACGGGTTTCACGCCCTTCCATCAGCTCCGGCAACGAGGCTTGGTGAGAGAGGCTGAGCCACGCGTCTACGTCGCCTCTCAAGCCCTCACGCAGGGTGTCAAAAATCTTGGCTTTGTTTGCCGTTCCGACGACCCTCATACCAATTTCAGGGACGTCGTTGTGAATCGAACCCAACTTTTTTTTTTCCTCCCTTCCCCTCACCACACATTTAACTCTATGCGCCTTGGCTATCGGACCTCACTTTCGACACACTCCAAACGACCGCGAAAAAATACCTAAAAACAGGTCCACCCCACTCTGCCCCTCCCTAGGTACCTTGCTTGCCGGCTCGCAAACAAAAAGCTACCGCACGGGTGCGGTGCGCTCATTCCAGGTGAAAGCACCTGTTTGAGGCCATCTTCACTCACCGTCGTTCGTCATTGATACTACTGACGTTTGGGGGATCACCAGCCACATCATTCTGCGACCGAATAGAAGTTAGGCGACCGCAGACCACTCAAAAAGTGGACTGAGCGGACACCATGTCGATCCGCATAGCGCTCGACAATCAGCCCGAGTTCTACACCAATCTCGACAACCTCGCTGGCCGCGTTGTATTGCATCTCAGCCGCCCCGAGCAAATTGGTGGCATCATTGTCAAGCTTGAGGGCGAGTCCAAGACGGCCCTTGGATTGCCTCAGAATTACGATGACCGCACTCACCCGCGTCTGCCGCCCGGAGGCGGCCCCGGAAGTATCGCTAGCGAGAACCACAAGATTCTCTACCGAGTAGCCCAAGTCTTTCCAACCTACGAGGAAGATCTCGGCGGCGGGAGCTCCTCTATGAGCGGGAGCTACGTCATCCAGGGCGGCCAGCATGAGTTCCCCTTCAAATTCAAGCTCCCCATCAACAATGCCTGCAGCGACCCCGTCGCCATGTCCAAAATCGGTGGTATCGGCGGCATGGGGGGCTTCGGCGCGGGCATCGGTCCATTCGGACTCGGAGGTGCCAGGGTTATGGACGGCAGTAAGCAGCTGTTCCTCCAGCATGTCACGAAGACCCTGCCTCCGTCGTTCACTGGCTTCCCCCGGCAGGCAGAGGTGCGCTACTACCTCAAGGTCACCATCCAACGGCCAGGCTTCCTCAAGGAGAACTGGCGATACCAGATCGGCTTCAAGTTCATGCCCATAGAGCCGCCCCGGCCTCCGAAGACGTCTCAAGAAGCCTACGCACGTCGGCCTTTCACCTTCAAGCCGCGACCCCAGGGTCTCCAGAAGAAGAAGAGCTCCCTCTTTGGCTCTGGCAAGGATGACAGCGCACCTAGCAACGGTGACGCTGTTCCCCCGTCCATTGAGCTCTCCGCGCGTTTACCCCATCCCTCGATTCTGACCTGCAACCAACCTCTACCGCTGCGTCTCATTGCCAAGAAGCTCATACCCTCACACGAACAAGTCTTTCTCACCTCAATCCAAATCGAGCTGATCGGCAAGACTCATGTCCGGTGCCACGACCTCTTCAACACGGAAGTGAGCAGATGGGTCGTCGTGACCCAGACAGGCCTCAGCGTGCCCCTCCTGGACAACCCGACCTCGGACGACCTCACCCACGAGTCCATCATCCCAGACGACCTCTGGCGCAACATCCCGCTACCCAACACCGTTGCGCCTAGCTTCGTCGCCTGCAATCTCCAGCGACACTATGAACTCGACATCCAGCTGGGTCTCTGCTGGGGCAAACCGCCATCCACGCGAACGTTCTTGGGCTCGAACAAGGAAAATCCCGCCGCGCAGTCCATTTTCCTCCCGTTGCACTTCTCCAAGGTTCAAGTGTACTCTGGCATTGCGCCGCCGCCGCAGTTGCTCGAGGCACTAGCAGCACAAGCCAACCGGCCGTCCGCCGCGACAATGAGCCTGCCTCCCAGATTACCACCTCGCACTTCACAGTCTGCACCCATAACCCATACCATGGGCCGTGGCCAGCAACAAAGGCCTCAAGCGCCTCAGCAACCACACCCCCCGGCCGCCGCAGCACCGCAGTATGACCCATTATACCCTCCCCAGATGGGAACACCGGGTGCTGCGGCGTTCGACGACGCACCGCCGAGTTACGACGAGGCACTGGCAGCAGGAGCAACTGGGCCGGAGGAGAGACCTGCGTACAGCGGCGTTACGAACGAGAATGCGCCGAGTCAGATCCCCGAGAAGAGTTAGCCCACGGTGTTTGCATTGAGACTTGAGAGACTGGGCGCGGGAAGGTTTAGACAAAGGGTTGGGTTTAATGACTAATGACCGGAGAGCGGTGCCGGGTGGACGAGACAAGACAGCGACGCCATCACAGAAAGACTTCAGAAGGGGGTTTTGTGTTACCTGGGTGGTTTAAGCCTTACTATACCTCGAGATGAGTCCGTGGGCTCGCCTAGTCCATGAATAGATTGATTTTTTCTTCATCCTGAAGAAGCCAGTATGAAGTTGAATGTCTGGCATAGGGCAGATAAACAGGGGTTGGCAGTCCACGATGGAGACAAGACAACTTGGAGGTGTTGGCTCAACAGCTTACCGAGGCGGACAAACCCCTGATCAGCCATTGCAAGCCCGCCAAGAGAGTGCCGTGATGCCAACTGACCAACATGCACCGAAGCCAGCTCAGCTGTGCCATGCAGACTTGGTTTCTTCCCGTCTACGTCGGTGAGCACACGCACACGCCCAACGGGCCTCAGGAACACACAAAAGTCCGCCGCAGGTGGCGTAGCGGACCGCCTCGGGAGGATGGCCCTCCCCGTCTGAATACGGCAACCCTCACCCACCCAGTCCGAGATGTGATTCAATACAAGAGGAGATGTCAAATCAGAGGCGGAGGGCGGGCTCGCGATGCGATCGCCCGTTGTCCGGTCCAAAGATCTACAAGATCTTCCAGGCACGCACCTCACCTACATGGCCACAACAACAACGACGACAGCGAAATCAGGCCCTCCCCACCCCTGCCCCCAACAGATGTTGAGATGTGATCACATATGCTCTGTCTCGCGCATTCCGCACCCGGACATTGCCCACGCAAGGATAATTCATCAAAGACGAGAAAAAAGTGACCCAATCAAGCTTCCCGTCGGCATAGACGCCGGCCGTCGTGTGTGAATGAGGCACAGCGCGGCCAATCAGGGCCTGACAAACGTACATATTGTTGTTTGAGTGAGAGTGGAGGTTGGAGGTTGGGCGGGTGTGTAGGTGGTCAGTATGCTGTTGGTTCGAAGCCCACTGTGTGCTGTGCTGTTTGCTGGAGTTGGAATCTTGCCTAGACGTATGTTTTTTACCGGGGTTAGATGCGGGCAGGGTTACGCGTGTGTGTTAGCCTACCTTGGTTGGTCTGGATTTTACGACCGGACTGGAGTGACTGGTCATGGCAGTGGTAATGAATGGCGGTGTTGGTATTGTTCTTCGGCTGTGTGGAATTTGCGAGGTTCTCGCTCAACATCCACCTGTGTTGGTGCATTCTATCCGGGGACGTTCCAATGGTGCAAAGCTCATTTCATTGGACTTGCAATTGCTAATCATTCAGATGGATGACCTACCCACGCTCGATGCTATTGACGCCTTCATAGTTACACAGATTCAACTGAAAATCAAAGAAATACCACAAGATAAGCATTCCACCTCTTATGCCTAGTGACGCTTTCGACACCTCACAGCCCCTCCTTGGCCAACATGTCTGCGATATCTAGGTAAAATGCAACAGCGTTGAAAGTCCTCGTCTGTCCCATCAAGACTTTCCTCACCGTCCACCGCACCCGGTTGGACCAGTTGATCAGGTCCAGATGGCTAACGTCGACCAGTGTGCCCTTGTAGTCGCCCCACTGGCTGCTCGCAACGCTAACCAACCCGTCGTTGGCGCCTTCAACCTCTTCCAGGATGCGATGGCTCTGCCGGAACGGGCTGAGGAGCGGGGGTGTGCTCGTGCATGCACCGTAGCTAAAGTACCTCACCTTGTCACTGTCTGGAGTCTTGGGGTTGAACTCGCCCTCCATGTACTCCCGCGTCAACTGGCCAAACGCCTTGGTGCCCAGCCCGGCGCGCTCAATCAGGCCGTAGAGGTTGGCGAGCTTGATGGGGCCCTGGCCATTGATGAGGAAGTCGGCAAACGCGCTCCCGCGGTGCGGCGTGGCGACGGTCACGAGGCTCTTCACGTCCACGTCGGCGGGTTTGAGATGAGAAATCATGTAGCGCGCGTCGAGCCCGCCCATGGAATGGGCGATGATGTTGACGGAGCGGCCGCGGGCTTTGGCGGCGATGTCGGCGCCCAGTTTCGCGGCGCGTTCCTCAATGGAGCCCGAGGGCGGTACGGCGGCTGTGATGACGGCCGGGTTGCCGGCGAGGGCGCGGAGGGCGTCTGAGATGCCGTGCCAGTAGTGGATTGGTGGGACGTACGAGCCTAGGCGCAGCTCGGCGAAGCCCATCAGTCCGTGTGCGAGGACGATTGGGTTCTTTGGTGTGTCTGGAGAATGTGTTAGTTATGGGTGGGTGGAGAGCCATGTAAGTGCGCGTGTGTGTGTGTTGGGGGCAGAAATGGGGCAGGAGGAAGACGGAGAAGACAGAGAAAAAAGAGAAAAAGGAAAGTGATCGAAGGGGTGTGGTACCATAGTGTTCTCTCACGACGGCAAACTCGTCCGATATCTGTTTGCCCAAGTCTCTCAACCTTGGATCGCTGTCGTCTTTGGTGAGGACGGGGGTGGTGGACAGGTTCCGAGTTCCCCGGCATGCTAGAGGGCGAAGAGACGCGGCTGGCGCACGGGTGGGAACAAGAGCGGGCAGCGCGCGAGGAGAGCGGCGGCGGCGGCAGAGGCCCCTCGCCAGACATGCGCTCATGGCATGGAGGATGACGAGTCGATGGGACGAGTTGTACAGTGCTGAGTGTAGGTAGGTTGCGGGTGACTGGCTGTCGGCAAGATGTGATTCAGTCTCGGCTCGCGGGGCAGGGCTTTAAGCGGGCAAGTGGGTGTGAAGGCTGGACTGGAGGTAAGGTGCCGCGCAAAGTACCAGTGCACGAATACTGGAGGAAGGAATTGCGAGCGGGCTGGGAGCGACGGGCGGCGGAAACGAAGGAAGAAACGCGTGGTGGTAGTGAATGCGACTGGAGGTTCCTGGCTGCGTTGATAGGAGGCGTGTTTCTCGCCAAGGAGTTTAAGCGCCCGGGTTTTGACGTCATGCAGACCGCGGCCAGAAAGGCTTAGCGCGATCGCGGGAGTCTTTGGTTCTCTCGGCCGACGACCCACCGACGACAGCGGACGCTAGGGTGCTCAGTGGATGGGCTTCCCGCACTATCCACCTGGAGGCCAGAGCTTCCTGCCTAGACAGGGGAGCTGGCCAAGGATGATTAGCAACTGCATGGCACTTGTTGGTTGGGCCTCATCCTTCAAGGCCACCCAGGGCAGCATCTGGTCAGTGTCCCGGTTCATCTCTTCAAAAGAGTAAAAGGTAATGAGATTGCTGTTGGAGGAGGGATGGATGGATGGATAGGTGCATCATGCAGCCTGCAGTGCGTGCGCACACAGTCTGTAGCACTGCACCTGCCATGACCGGACTTGGAGGGGGAGAGCAAATCTCGGGTCATCCCTCTTGCGTCCCTGGTCTCCTTGTTTCTCCCCCTCCATCTTGTGCTCTCTTCATCTCTCCATCTCTTTGTAATGGGCTGGTAATGTCCGCACCCCAGGCTACACAAGACCAGCAAGGGCTCCTGGGAAAGAGATGGGAAGGGGAAAAACAAAATCAGGCTTCCCCAACCGCATACACCACCACCCCCGCCCGCAAGATGCTCTGCGTTCGCAAATCAAAGTCCAGCGTTGGCCAATTTCCCCGCTTCAGAGACACGTCGTGGTCTGCTGCTTGTTTTCCAGCCCCCAACCTACACCTTCCCAACCCAGATTGTGCGGCGTAGCAAAGCTTTCGACAGCAAGCACTGGCTGAGAGCCAACAGTGTTGGAACCTCCCTGAGCTGGCCGGTAGGGCCAGGTGAGAAAGTGACGGTTCCCGTCGCCATTGGACGGGAGTTCCCTTGGCCCCCCTGGCTCGCCCTCACCGGCCGACATGGACCAACATGGGCCTCGCAGAATGGCCAGCCAATGTAACCTCCCTGCCAGCGTTGCCCGTTGGATAAACAGCCCGCAACCGCCAGCCGTCCGCTGGTTATTGGCCCGTGACCTGGCTCCGGAGAGGGTCTTGATCTGCAAACATGTCCAACCATTGCACCGTCGAACCGTTCCGCTGGGACGACCGCCTGGCCTCCCTCCTCGCCCACCGCACCCGCACACTTTGTTTGCTTGAATGCGTGCCTGCTTGCTTGCTGCTCTGGCGTCCAAGCTGTGTGGTTTCAATTCCTTCACGGCAGTTGAAAACCTTCTCGCTGGCTGTTTCTGCACATTGGCGTCTGACGGTGGCGTCAAAGTGCTCTTCTAAGCAGCCCCTGGTCATCGTTGTGCCAGTCACTGAACGGCATCAGTTGGGACGAGTTTGACTGAAGAAAGCTGCTGTTGGTACAACGTCTCTTCCGAAGTGGATGTAATCCATATCGGATGCAACCGCGGAAGCTGATGGTGTGCCCCTTTGGATTGACCCTGGCCTGTCCTGCGTGAACCACTTCCGCCCGTCGGACCGCCTCCTTCATCGCGTGTCCGGAGCCATCCACAATCGACCGTATCCTTCAACTGCAGCGGCCACCGCATATCCAGCCTGCTGGAATGAAATGCTTGACCTCTGTGCCTGCTTGAATGTTGTGTCTGCTTGCTGGAGTTGGTTCGGCTGCCAGTTGTGCAAATCCCGATGGCCAGCCTGCTGTGTATATATCCAACAGCCCGGCGCGCTTCTGCTTGCCGACTCCCTCCTCTCTCCTCCAGGCATGCCCGACCAAACAATGGTAAAGGGACCGCCACTGTCGCCTGTCAAGTGAGAACACGGACACAATGACAGGCGACTGCAACGAAAACTGCCCCTTCCGAGGAGGCTTCCTCAACTATGAGCCTTCGGCAGTTGGCAGCGCCATCTTCTTGGCGGCTTTTGCGCTGTTGGTGCCGCTGACCTTCTTCCAAGGCTACCGCTTCAAGACGCCTCTCTTCGCTTCGACTTTGGCCACGGGTATTCTGTTGGAGGTGTTGGGATTCGCCGGAAGGCTGAGGCTGAAGAACAACGTCGCCAGCGAGACATCCTTCACGTTGTGGCTCCTAGGTTCGATACTCGGCCCGACCTTGATCTCGGCAGCGCTTTGCCAAGTACTTCCTCACGTTGTCGCTCTATATGGTCTCGGTATCGGTTTCACGCGCCCCAGAGTCGCCGGATTGTCGCTTGTCTTTGCCCTACTTCTCGTCGTTGCTTTGGAGATCGCCGGTGTCGTTGCTGCCGTCTTTGGACTTGGTGGTGTTCAGGTATAAGTGCATCATGTGCAGACTACGTTCCCATGTTAATAAGGTGTGACAGTCGACTACCATCCTCCTCGCAGGCCTGGGCGTTCAAATCGCGCCGCTCTTGCTGTTCATCGGCTTATACCTCTGGTTCACCCAGAAGATCCCCGACCCAAAGCACATTGCAGTGTACCAACAGCCGAGGTTCAGGCACTTCGTGAAGAGTGAGCCTACCAGATTACCCTGAAACCAAGCATCAAGCTGATCGATCTCTAGTCATGCCGCCACTAGCTGTGGTCTTGATCGCACATACCATCTACCGTCTTGTCGAGTATGGAGAGGGGCTCGGTGGCCCTCTCACCAGGACAGAGGTCGCCTCTCTCATTATCAGCGGTGCATTGCCGTTTCTTGTGTGCATTGCTCTATGCATATACCACCCTGGGGCGGCGTTTGGCCGCGCTTGGGGTCTCACATCTCCGAGGCTTCGACGCCAGTCCCTTCGGTCTCGTCGTCGACAAGGGGGGCCATCGCCTCTTCATTCCCCGACCGCCCCCTGGGACAGACATAAGGGCCCCCGTCAGCCTGGCTTCACTGCTTCGAGATTTCCGGAGAAGAAGATGTCCCCGGTTGGCGTCGGGCCAGTTCCCTTGCGAGACTCCACGATGGCGAGCAAGGTTGCTGGTAGTCCTGGTGAAAGGTCTGCGACATATACAAAGATTGCCAGCAGTCCTGGCGAGAGGTCGGTGACTTATCCGAGCCCGATCGCTGAGCATTATAAGCTGGAGACGCCTCACCATAGCCCACCTTTGCAAAGGCCTCAGCAGACGAATCAACCGTCACCCAAACACAGCCCGCCGTTCCAAAGGGCTCAGCAGACCGGGCAGCCGTCGCCCAAGCGAAATAGCAATCGTTCGAGTCAGAATCCGATGGTGAACAGCGAGTCTCTGTGGTGAAGGAATGATATCAGGGGCGGCTTTTTATTCTTTTGGAAGCGGGAGTTGACATGTCTAAACGGGATATCCTCTCGTTACGGTAGCGTGGCGTTTATTGACATTGGTGGATATGTGTTGCTTTATATACCGGAAAACTCCATTCCTGCGCTTGGATCGGGTGGCCAGAGTTGATCTCAGTTGCGGTAGTTACAATCCTTTGAACTGCTTGACGAAAAGGTGGCGCTGATGACATTGTGACGCTGTCGTGTGCTGTAACCCCATCGAATCTTGCTCACAGATTCCGGTAACCCAACCACTTCCTCCCCAAGGCATACAGCAGGCCGAAGAGCGCGCCCCCAATGTGACCGGCATGTCCCACACCGGTCTCGGTTTGAGTGCCAAGGCAGAAGATATCCACGGCAAACATCGCCAGAGATACTTCGCGGAGAGACAGCACCACATTCGTTCCAGAGAGACGGACTCTCATGGCCGGATGCATGGCGGCCAGCGCTATTCCGAGGCCCGTCAGCACACCACTGGCTCCCACAGCGGTGCTTTCTTCTGCGGTCTTCCTTGGGCGCTGGCGCTGCGAATTCCACACAAAAGCCGCGCTGGCGGCGATGCCGCTTCCTAGAGCAAGTAAAGCAAACCGCAGCGGCGACGTTCCTCTCGCACAGAGGTGTTTGACGTACGTGCCATACGTAGACATGTTGACGAGTAGGTGAAGGGGCTGGATGTGACTGAAGGCCGAGGTGATTAGGGTGACCGTCTGAAGGTTGCTGGGCCTGAGCATGAAGTTCTTGTTAAGGAAGTCCCTCAGGCGCTGCCGACTGAACGGCAAGGGTATCGAGGCGAGTGCAGGATGAAGCGCAAGCAACCAGGCGATGTGGATGGCGATGTTGGTCAGGGGAACGCCGTAGAAGATCACCGTCCAGGCAGGCCCCAGGCCGCGTGCCTGTGCTAAGTAGTGACTTTTCGGAAACGCCGCCATTGCCAATATGACAGTATTCGATGATATTGGGCCAAGGAAAGAGGCCCAGTCAGGCGTTGGCGAAACAGCAACGCTGTGAAGTGCTTCTCGAGACTTGTCTCAATGCTCACTATCACGACTTGAAAACAGAGGCGAAACAAGCACCTTTGTAGCGCCAGCTTTGAAAAACGCCACAAGGCTGTCCCGCGATAGGAGTTTCTTCTATCAAGTTTGGAGAATGTCGGAGCGGATGTAGATGCTGATCACAAAATACCGTGCTGTTCTGATTTAATTAGCAACCTAGGTAGTATGTATTGCGGAGCAAACAGCGACGAATTTGTGACAAAATTGTCCGTGCGCGACCAAGCCCCAGTACATCCGTTCCCAGTCCCATCCTCCCAGCAGCTTCCTAACCACCGAACGTGATGAATAGCGACATGTGGAGACACCTTGTCAAGAACGATGACGGACCTTGTTTACTTTATCATCATCATGTTCTCTTCCTCCCAGTAATAATAGTATATTCCACGCCAGTTGGCATCAGAGTCTGCTCGAATGGTTGCTCGTTCACATCTCGGCTAGGCAATCGCCTCAGCTTTCGTACTAACGGTCCTCAGACCTTGCAATGTGGGCATTCGGGGTCCAGCATCCGCATGCGCAGGCCCTGTGACGTCTGAACCAGCTCGAGAATTTGGTTTTCTCTTGAATTCGCGTCCTCAAATGATAAGCTATCTGTTTGTTTCCTCGTACCGATCAAACGGATATGTTTCTCCCAGAGTGGCTTCAGTACAGTTGCACTACGGTGCAAATCCTGTACGTGCATATATTCGCCGTATGAACTTGCTTCGACGATGAGAAGATCAGCATGATAATGATCTTTTCGAGGCTCAGGCGAATCTGTCTGTTTGGGCCAACATTGAGGCACCAATACGGCCTTGAGGTTCGGAAAAGCCATGGTCAAACATCTGATTCCAGCTTCGGAGTACTTCAGAAGGGAATAAAAGCCACCGCATGTGGTTATGGTCGTGAAAGATTGCAGAAACCGTGAGAAATGTTGTGTTTTGCATCGCACAGCTGACTCGAAACATTCTATAGGATGATCGGGGAAGTTGGCTCCTATATGGTCGATCCCAGGAAAGATCAGAACGTGTGGGGCGGATGATGATCGAGAGGCGTAGAACGGCAGAGGAGAGAATCTGTTGCGAGCCATGATTCTTGTAATTTGGTTTATCTGGGAGAGGGACCGAACTCCAAGGAAGCGGTTCTTCTGAAGTTCCTCGAAGTCGCGGCCTTCCGACAGATTGTGGGCGAGAAAGAAATTTGGGCCATCGTCGTCCAGGAAAATCCACCATGATTCCGAAACAGAACCGTATTCAGCGTCGTCGAGGAGACCTTCCATGATGAGGAGAAAGATCTCGGGAGGAAGTGTCCGTTGTCTTAAGGCTGTGCCTTTTCCTGTGCTGGGCCCATCACCCATGGTGGCATTGGTGACGTTGTCTTGGCAGGCTGATCGTGCAAGGCAGAAAAAGACTTCTTCCAGCTGATGAGGTGGACGGGTTCGGCTTGCGAGAATCAGTGTGACTGCTGTCGACCCAAACGTGGGGAAAGACCCCGGGAGGGAAGGCGCGGGCCAGGAATTGGCTAGAAAGGAAGGCGCCTGGTCACTTGGTTCTTTCCTTTAGGCTATTCGCCTCACATGGGTAGGTACTCTCTGATTCTTAAGATGCCTGTATAGAAGCAACGACCCTATGACTCAAAGTAGCTCAGTATCTTGATCAATGCTCTTGCCTCGCTCTACCAGCCTCAATCCCTCCTCCCTCAATTCTTCTGTCAGCCTGCCCCAATACCGTATTGACCGAACCTTCTGTTCGTCCAGAAACGACCTCGTCCCCCTTTTCCAAATCAACCATTTCAACGTTTTCGTGTTGACCATTGACGGCAGGCGTCCCGGATTCTACGCCTTCCTTCGAAGGGTGTCCTGTGATCCTTGCCCAGCGATTTATAATACTTCTTCTCTTCGACTCATCCGTAGATATCCCCGTGACGCTCTTCCCGCCGGGCTTGGTCGAGTCAAGTTGACTGCGCAAGCCCAGCTTGAATGATGCATGCCGCAACAAGGGCTGCAGCGCTGGGAAGCATCCTACCCAGAGACCAACGTGGAGCTCAGCGTCTGTCCATGCTGCCACGGAGAGCATCTTATATGTTCTGGAAGAAGTCAGAGATCACGTTCATCACGCATATCAAAACGGTCGGATTGCAGTGCCGATACGTACGTGTTCACGGTAAAGTCTGTCGTCGTGATGATGGCAAACCTGACGATGCCGGTTGCAACACCGAAGATGCCTAGCGAGAAGATGAGAAGGATCTGGATCGACTTTACTCCCATCTTGAAGTAACTTGTCACCACCCAAAGGGGGAGGGCAACCAGCATGCAGTCGACAAAAATGCAGATAATTGCATGGGCCATCATCAGATCCCGCTCTTCTCGTTTGTCCTTGCATTCTCGCCATGTACTTGCATAGTTGAATACCTCGCTACAGTCTCACGTTTAGTCAGGATCGGAATTCTTTGGAAGGAATTTCTCACGGTATTTGCTGGCATTCTGTGAGAATGAAGAAGAACCCCGTCAAGCTGATGATGATGACGATGAGCCTAAGTCCCCATATGCTCCAGGTGTAAATCTCTATCATGATGATTAGCATCGAATTGACAAAGTAATGGTAGAGCAAGCATACTGGCTTTGCACAGTCGTGGCAAAAATGCTAGAATTGACAGCCGAACAACTCCCGAGGCAATAAGGTACACCAGTTCCATGATGGTGAGTCTCTATCACGCCCCGTCAGCTTTCTGTGATCCCAACTGCGACAATCACCAGCCCACCTTCTGAAACTGTAGCAATGTATCTTTGGGTACATCTTCGATTTGAGCGCCGGTTCCGTAATGGGTGGTATCCATCTCCAGGGCGGAAAGAGTCACGCAGAGTGCCTACATGGAGTATTAGTCGGTGATATATGATACGAGTTTGTGAGCATACCCATGCTAGAACCGCGAGAAAGTCATCCCATCCCAAAGCCTTAACAATAGCCTTTCGAACATACAATCGTAACGATATGAAAACCGTTGAAAAAATGATCAAGGCCAAATTCAGGTTGTAGATATGGTGCCCTTTCGAGTTAGGGTGCCATAACATGGAGTCACTCGGGATGGCCATGTCGTTCTGGCCTCCTTCGACCCACTTGTGAACCATCTTGTCGACAATTTCGAAGTGATCTAACCCACTCAACACTTACAACACCAAGACCTCATGCCGGTTATCCGGGGGGCGCCTGTTTTTGAAAGATTCTGCAGAGATCAACGTTCAGCCAGCTTACATCACGTGGAGTATGGAAACGGCAAGAGATCATTCTGATTTCTTGAAGAACAGAGACATGCTAATCCACTTTGAAAGCGACGGATGGTAAGGTACAAAATGACGGGCATTATCCTCTTCAGCTAGCAAAAATGAGATCCAGAACGTGGAAAACTTTGGTGGCCAGCCGGAGACCTCGCCGAACGCCACTTACACCGCCGACCCCGAACACAGGTGCCTAATGGCATGGTATACCAAATGCAGGAGCACATGCCTCGATGTGAGTTGCCACGTGAATTCTCCGTAAGCATATGTTGCTGTCGTTCAGGGCAATGCATCGAACACTGGAGGCTTCTATGACTTCTACGGTACCGCCACTGACTCACCTCCAACAATGTGAACCAAGTCCTCGATCTCGACGTGTCTATATCGTATTATTATTATCGCCAGTCCGTTAGCGACACCAGCTGCTCTCGGCATGTCTCATTCCAGGAGCTCTGCTTACCCGAGCGCCATGAGCATTTTTGGCCACTGGCCTGCTAACTTACAGTAACGGACGTCTTGGCAACCGATAGAACCTCGTGCTTACGGTTAAATCTTGGCCTGGACCCTAATTTGAAAAGGACGCTTTCGTCTAGGTGTAAATTTCGGTGTCGAGACGCAGACGCCTTGACGCTTTTCAAGCACAGCCCCAAAGCTGCAACGGATGTCGCCGAGGAATGCATGTCACTGCATCTGTACGAACGACGGCACGATGGACGGTATGATGATCAAAGCTTTTAAGCATCCGTATTGATGCAGGTACATACGTCGAGTGCGACATATGCTTCCTCAGATGGCGCTGAAGGGGCGGCATAAGTACATCGTTTCAATCTACTCTGACGGGAAGTTCTTGATGTGACAGCTGCCATTTGCCGAGACCTTATTTTAACATCCAACGGTCTTTGCATCATAAGAAAGAACACCTCGTCTGGACTCATCGGACCATAGAGCAGACAAAAGCACTAGCTAGGTACGGCCAAACATCTTGGATACTTCAGCCACCTCCTAAAAGTCACCGGTATCCCACATACTTTTCCATTCTCTCATCACAGAGAAAGCTTCATTCGGCGGTCTTGGCATTCCATATCCCTTGACGGATGCGGATGTTGTTGATCCATATCGGTACTTTCCCTTCCGATTCCAAATCCTTGCGTCACTCTATCTGCCACCGATAACTGCAAGACCTTCTCGAATGTTGAATAGAAGCCTTGGCTCCGTAACCGTTTTTCCGCCCTAATGACAACCGTGAGCTGAGGGAGGCCGGGGAGGAAAGAAGGACGCGATGGCTCTTTCTTTGTTCACATGGAGCTGACTTCAGACCAGGGCTCCTACCTCAACGTTTCTGCCTCTTACAGTAACGCCCTTTGTCGTCGTGAACTTCGACAAAAAGTTCTGGAACTTCCAATTACAGGTACCATCATTGAGAAGCTGGTTTTCAGGACTCCCTTGGGTCTAAAATCGGACGTTCCTGCCAGAAGTTTCCTCCAAAGGGAGAACACTCCCTCTCGACGCCACAAACTCTGAGGCAGTGCACACTCACCTCAACACCACCACGACCGTTTTCATCCAAGATTGGAAGCGAAAAGCATTCCTCCGGAGCCAAACAGGCGCCCTTCAGCAAACAAATCATACCCAGCCGCCAATGAATCCTTGCTTGAAAACAGACATCGCCCCGGTTACACAAACCGTCAACACCCTCCTCCTTCGCACCTACGCCCTTCTGCAGACGCCCCTGACGAGCGCGACCCTGCGCCTGGCGCTTGATGCCGCTGACAAAGCCCTTGACATTGCAACGAATTTTGGCCGCTTCGACCTTGAGCCCCGCGCCCAGCTCTATCGTGGACATGTGTTGCGAGCATGGGGTCGTTGGCGCGCTGCTTGGCAGGCGTACATCCGCGCGGCAAGCGTAAGGGGCATCGGCTTCTCGGGGACGGACATCAAGGGCCTCACGCGAGAGTGTCTTGAGATGATGAGGATTGAAGACGAGTGCGATCCCGAGAGGAAGCAGAGCATGATGGAGAGGAAAGGCGCGAGAATGGTGCGCTTCGAGTTAGACGAGAGGACTCCTGGCAGACTCGACGAAGTTGATGGAACCCAATCCGACGAGAGTACTGATGGAATGTACCTGCTACTGAATGGAAGCGGCGAAGTCATTGGAAGCTGTGAGAGTTTGCCTGATCTGAGATCTGTACGGGGCAGAGGTTCTGTCCATCGGTCGCCGACACCAACATGACGCTATATTCAGACCATGAGGTGGTGGGGTATTTCGCTATGGGAGACGAGAGGCTATAGTCATGCCTTCTATTTAGGTGGGAAACATCAAGCATTCAGAGTCATGAAAGGTCACTTGTCTCTGTTCTCATGTCGCAAGCCTTTGTTGACGCTATCCCAGGTCTTGCCAGGCCAACACTCGGTAATACTTCTTTGTACCTGCAGCAAGGGCATTGAACTCTTTGAAAGTCGGGTCTCCCTTCGAAATATGTCCCGTCGAAAGCGTCTGTATAGCCAGTATCATCACAAGATAATATGGAAACCTTGAATTAAGATGCGAGAGAGTCTGGGAGCTACCGAAGTTGATAATGATCATAACCGCCCGAGATTGGGAGGAATGCTTTGAGAGTTACTTTCCCCAGACAAGTTCTCTTTCTCATTAAGGTCTCTCCGTCACTGTGTTTTCCATTATTCATTCATACTTTCGGGATCGTGTAAAAAAAACCAACATGAGCGATTCTAAGAGGCGGAGAAGCTCAGAGGACAACCGCGGGCGCAACGTTCGGCCAGCATCAGACGATACGGAGGCCTTCCCTAACGACAATCGTTCGACCATACGAACCAACGCCTCTGCCAACGACACCTACGATGTCGCTGTCAACGCAACTTCCGATGGACGAACGTCCCGTCGTGCTACGCGGTCCGATATGGTCCACGAAAGCAGCGCAGCTACTGGTTCGATAAGAGCTCCAATTTCTCGGAAAGAGGTGCCAGCATCTGAGACGGTCAGCCCCGACGACGCCAGCACCGGCAGATTCCACTGGCCACGTCCTTCGTCTAGACCAAGACGTTTTACCCATAGACGGGCAATTTCTGATGCGAATTCGTCAGGTCCACCAAACAGCGCCCCTAGTGAGCCTCAAGAGGCAGCTCAGGGGCAGCCGAGGGAGAGTCGAAGAAGCATATCCGGCGCAGAGTCGAGAGAGACTCGTCGGAGCATTTCCGAAGCAGTCACGAACATTCATGTCGACGATCAAACACCTCCTCAATTTCGAAAAAATAGTAGTCAGAGTATCGTCCGTAAAGAAGTTGGATCGTCCAGCCGGGACAGCAGCAGAGGGGCCCCGCCCGTTGGACCGCTGCCTTCGCCCTCGGTTCCCTCCAGACGGGCGAGCAGTGGGCAACACCCGCAAAACAAGCCGTTGCCTCCTCGTCCTGATGAGTCGCCAGCCCGTCCGCTCGGTCCTTCATCACGAGAGAGCAGCGGCCACCACCCACAGAACAAACCATTGCCTGCTCGTCCTGTGGAATCACAACAGACACCGATTAAGAATGCTTCTCTAAGGAATGATTCGCTCTCCATTTTCAACTCCACCCCTCCTGAAAATCCTCCAGGACCTGCCATCGCCCCTAGGTCTACCGGATACGACCCTTCCAGCCGAAATCCGGACCGTCAGTCGTCAACTTCGACCCCCCCTCTGATTGACATTTCTGCTAGCCCCGACCCTTTAACGAGAAATGCCGGCCAAGGATCTGACCAGAAGCGGAAGTTAGACTTTAATATGAGTCCTCTGAAGCCTTCATCGGAGAAGCCTTCGAATAAACCTGTACTCCGTCTGTGGAAGCAAAATGTCGAAAGCCAGCAGTCTTCCGCCACCGCATCCCAGTCATCTGAGGCAACACCTATGCCTGCGCCCAGAGCTACTTTTACGGACCCAAATACATCCATTCCATGGCGTGGACCAACTCTTGAGCAGAAAAAGTCGGCCGATTCATTGATGGATGTCAACGGACCGATCGAAACCTCGGGCGACAGTGAGAAGACACCCACAGCTCAGCAACCGCAGAGGCCGGTCTTCCCAGATCCAAATTCGCCGACACTGAAAGCATTCAAAACGGAACCCCCCCGCGATGGACCCGGCTTCCATGGCCGGCCTACTCCTGAGCCAAATCCCGACGCTTCAAACCGCCCCCATGTTTGGATACGCCCGCAACGTCTTCCTGACGACGAATCTCAGGAGACAATAGAGACCTACAAGAAACTTTTCAGTCTCAACCAAGAAACCCGCGTGACCCTTCTTTCTCGTGCGCATCGCTATCCCGATTACGGCCGCGACAAAGAAGCTGCCCGGCGCAAGGCCGCATTCGAACGGCAGACGGGCGAGACCATGTCTGACGCAGACTACTACTCCCTCTTTGACCAGACGATAGCCACGGACGGTATGATTTCCTCGCTCATGGAGTTCATGGAAGGGCGGGAGTACGTGAAAGCACCGTACGTCAACCGCATCATCCACCAGCTCTTGAAGATGATGTACCAATCTGCCCGGGAGGAGAGTCGGCTCAGAGACAGGAGAAAGCGGGAGTGTGACTTATTGAAACGCAGACTTGAGGACTGCGAGAAGAGGTGTGGTGGCAAGACCAAGCCTGTCAGCCTCGACACGGGCGGCGACAGGGAGAAGACGCTGAGACTTATCAAGGAGATGTGGGACCGCATGGACGGCGTCATGGACAAAGAAGAAGAATGCATACGAGATCACAACCACAAGTGGAGGAACCGCAAGGAAACACTGCGGCGAAACGACGCCAGCTTTCGGGAATGGCGCGCCTTGGACGAACGGTTCAGATCTCTTTGGGACGAGCGC